CCCCAGTTTGCCATTTATTTCTTTATGCACTTACAGGTTGAGGTAGTCTGCAGGACAGCATAGAAGATGGGATTAAGAGGAAAGAACTTAGGGCAAAACACTGACTACTGGCTGCAATTTACCAACTCCACCATTCCTCATGTGTCCATGTATACATAGAGATCTTACCTTATATCATAAGTCGGAGGATTGATTGTGATGTTGTATGTAAGGCACTTTGCAAATTGTTTGGAACATTACATGACAGTCGACTTCTTAAGTTTTATCTTCTTCTAATTACTGTGCAACAGATGCTGTGGGTGCAGATATGGATAAGGTGATTTTTACAGTCCTTAAGGAGATCGCTGATTAGTGGGAAAAACATACACAGAAGCAGGCAATTTCAGTACAGAGTGACAAGAAACAAGAAAAACAAAAACAAAAACAAGGAGCTGTGAGGACACAGTAGAGGGCACTGATATAGTTAGGAAAGAGAGGAGGATGGTCAAAAAGTTTATACTGGAGCTGTCTTTTAAAGGAAAAATAGGAGTTTTCAAGGCAAACCATGGTAATAGAAACATGTTAGGCAGAGAGAATATTTCAAATGTGCAGAAGCAAATGAGAACATAGTGAGAGTTGGAGAACTGTCTGCACCTTGACATGCACACACCCTGGATGTGGTTAAGGCTAAGAGGGAAGGAGGAAATCAGAAGAGTTTGGGAGGTGAGCAGGAACTTGTTCCTTGTGCCTTCAAACTTGGTTGGGTCTTATTCCAGAAGCTAAGGGATGAAGGGGTTAATGGAAGGTTTCACCAGGGAGTGTGACAGAGTGAAATTGGCATATTATAAAGTTCATTCTGGCTGTCATGAGGACTTCCTACTGGAATGAAGTGAGATGCACTTGGAGTAAAGCTTTAAAGACAGAAAAATTAGTTTGAGCACTTTCACTGTAGTCCAGGCAGAGATGATGTGGAGCTAGGTATGCTGAAAGGTCACAGGAATGAATTGAATAATGTTCTCTCCAGAGCTGAGAGTAACACGAGGCTAGTGAGATGCCTAGGACGCAAAATTAAGGGAGCATTGACTCTCAGGGTCTTAAGTGCTCCTTTAAGGTCTGTGCCCTAGACACCTCTAAGGGCTCACTGTTCAGTACGTGAACAATCAAGGTATTATTGGCAGTGCAGCCGAAAAGGAATGAAGTATTTTCTTGACTCATCTGTCCCTGTCTGCAATTTAGCTGGGGGCAGCACCAGGCACCAAGTCCCTGAGGTCACTCCCTTTGGACTTTCCAGGAGCAATAAGTGTTCTCAGGCTCATTCTGTACTGTGGGGAGTCTCCCTTCCGTGACTGAGGGAATGGGTGCTGGTGAGTGAACTAGGCTGCACACATAGCTGGTGCAACATTTCCAGGGAACTTAGACACACAGACACGTAGCAGTTACTGTCACCACCCAGACTGCACAAAGGCGTTCCTGTGTCAGAGCACTGGTCACATGGGCAGGAGAGGAGGTAAAGTGTACTTTTTTGACTACCCTTCCCCATGCTTCTCATTCTCTGGGTCTACATCCCCCCTGCTGCCCCTGCAGTGGTTTTTTCCTACCCCTAGGTTCAGCCTTCTGGTGCTCCTTCCCAGGAATAATGTCCACTTCTGTACCTTGCTCTCTGAGCCTTTCTCAGTGATATTTTGCGGCTGTGATGATCTCATTCTAGTTTTCTACTCACAGACACACGTATGAGGAGAATGTCAGCAGTCTGGGGCCCCTGAATGAAATAGCCTTTTTTATTAAATTCATCTTTACTGTTGATAGTATTACAGATGTCCCCTTTGTTTTTGTTGTGCTTTTTCCCCCACTAACCCCCTCCTCCCCATAGCCACCCCTCCCAAGCCTTTACCACAATAGGGTCTATTTCAAGAAAGTGTTCTAATCTATTTTTTTCCCTTTTTTTTTTTTCAATTCTCACCACAGGATATTTTTCCATTGATTTTTAGAAAGAGTGGGAGAGAGAGAGGGAAAGACAGAGAAATATCAATGTAAGAGAAATACATTGACTGGTTGCCTCCTGCACACTCCCTGACAGTGCCGGGCCAAGAAGAACCTGTAACTGAGGTATGTGCCCTAGATCAGAATCAATCCTGGGATCCTTAGGTCCGTAGGCCAATGCTCCATCCACTGAGTCAAACCAGCTAGGGTAGAACTCCTGATCTGAGATGTGCCTGGGTGGGTAGTTTGGGGAAAGGGAGCTCTCCATAGGTTAGGGAAGTTAGGGATGCTGTGGGTGCTTCTCAAATCTTCTCTCTATGGGTGGCTAAATCCTGACTTTAACATTTTAGTTACTTATTAAGTTTGGGCTGATACATATAGCTTCTTCTACTTTAAAAGTTTGAGACACCACATCAGAGATGTTTTGTTTGTTTTTTTGCCCAGCAAGTTAATCTTTGTAAGAAAAAAAAATCCCTTGTATTAACTGTAAGTAACATTAGAAAGATGTCTTAATATGAAATAAAGAACAAGTATATATTGTTCCATGCGTACCACTATTCTTTGGTAACTGTATCTCCCTTTTCTTTGCCATGCCAGTTTATGGCACCAACAAAAATTTCAAGTGCTAGTAATCAATACCACACTCTTCAGAGTACAACTCCAAATACTTTATGAACCTGGAGCTAGTCCAACAGAAAATGAAATTACTGTGGATTAGAGAGAACATTACGTACATTTCTTTAAGGATTGGTGATATGAATTAAATAACTTCTAATGAGGGGGTGAGGGCATGAGTGGTGGGGGTGGGGGGGTAATGTGGGGATAAGGATACATGTAATAACTTAAACAATAAAGAAATTATAAAAAATAACTTCTAATGAAAGCCCAAATTTTTAGCACTCAATTTAATAATGAAACAGACTTCAACAAATTATTGTCATATATTTGGCAATAGTAAAATATTTTTCCATATGATAGAAAAATTCTCAGATAAAGTGATTCATTAGTTCAATACCCAGATATAATAGTCATATTTCTATGTTTTATCTACTAGACAGCCTACCTATGAAAATATGCTATTTGTTCCACAATGACATCAAGCATAACATGTTTTTGTGATCTTGTTTTTATTTAATAATGAATGGTAAATTTTAAACAGCATTTCTTTGGGCAGGTCTATCTTTCCTGATTCTGAATAAAAAGTGTGTTGCTTTTTGTTAATGAGAAAATTAATTTACTTTGTAATGAAGATTATTTATTAAATTTTAGGCTATTTCAAAGGTTGGGATTTTTATTTCTATCTTCTTTAAAGAGTATAGTTTGTTTCATCATATGTTCCTTTTTCAGTGATGAAACCCATTTAGCATGAAGTAGAAGGGTTTCACAAAATCTCTGGGAGGAGTGATTTGAGGAGATCAACTGTATTGTGTTCCCTGAAGGACAAAATTTTTTTGCTTACTAATTTTATTCAAATTCAATCCTGGCATGCGTGCATGCGCGCGCGCGCGCACACAAACACACACACACACACACACACACACACACACACGCATGAACAACTTCAAAAAGTTAAAAATATATCTTGTCAGTTTATAGTTTCAGAGACATTGATACAAGGAACAGACTGAAAGATCTAAGAGGGGAGAGGAGTGGGGGGGGAGATAGAAAGAGATTAACCAAAGAACATATATGCATATATGCATAGCCCATGGACACAGACAATAGTGTGATGAAGGCCTGGGATGGGGGTGGGGGTGGGGGGAGATTGAATGAAAGGGTAAATGAGAGAGGAATGTGGGACATCAGTAATACTGTCAACAATTTAAAAAATTAAATTAAAAATAAAGAAAGAAATATCAAATCTATTTTAAGAAGAGTTTAAATAAGAAGTGGTTGTATCCACTTTTATTTATGATTTAATTTTTGAATTGCTCATTACTTATTTCTGATCATGCTTCTTTAAAGTAATAAAGTTGGGATGTAATAATAAAGAAAACTTTGGGATAGAAATGTAATATTTTTTAATAATCTGGGTAAACTCTAGTACAGAATCTCATCCTAGCTTTCAGAACAAGTACTCACTAAGTGCTACATTGAAGCTCCACTCAATCTCAAGTAGCAGCATCCCTAACTGCAGTGATAATGATAATAAAACTTCAAAAATATATCTGTAATCAACAGGTAATCATTTATTAAACATAGAAACAGAAAACACTTATATCAACACCTTTGTTCACATAGACTATAACCCTATGTGCAGGATATTTATTTTATAGGCTTTGAACTCCTTTTCCCCTTTTATGCACATGTTAATGTATTTTTGTACACATGATAAGTGATCAATAGATGCTTAGATCAATAGTTGATTAGGCAACCATGAAAAATGAGATGGAAAAATTACTAGAATTCGAACAAAATCCACATTTCATTTATGATCTATGTAGTTATTTAATTTTAACAAACACAATGCATCAACCTTTTGAATATGTTAAATGCCTAATTAAAGAATAACAATAAAAAATAAAAGAATAGCAAATAAAAAGCAGTTTATTAGATAAATGTGTGTGCTGGATAACAGAACTGTTGCTTAGTTCAATAAGAAAAAATACTTTGTGTTTCTATTCATTTTTTATGTCCTTTATAAAAATTCATTATTTTTTCTTGTCTTAAAATGTTTAGCCAGAGAATAAAATTGATTATCATGAGTTTTACCATTTTGAATGACTATCATTTTAAGTTTGTGTCAATTGTGTGAGAAAATAGTGCCTACTGATAGATTTTCTTTGGAAGCATCTTTTAAAAATTCTTTGATCCCACTTTGAAACTTTGGAATCTTTCTCTGCAAAACAGATCATTGCACACATTTGGGTCTATAATTAAAACTTCTGAGTAGTTAGAAACTCATTAACTGAGATTTTCTATAGCAGATCTGAGCCCACTGAGAGTTAATAAATATATACTAGTTGGGTGTGACAGACTAGTTCTTTAACGTTCTTTCTGCTTACAGGTAAGTGATGAGCATTTCATACCATAATTCAAGCATGTCAGCTCCCAACTACTCCACTGTCAATTACGATATGTTTGTCCTCATTGGCATCCCTGGACTGAGGGAGCTACACATGTGGATCTCCATCCCCTTCTGCCTGATGTACCTGGTGGCCGTGGCAGGAAATGGAATCCTGATCTACGTGGTGGCAGTGGAACGCAGTCTTCATGAACCCATGTACCTCTTCCTCTCCTTGCTTGCTTTTTGGGATCTGATCCTATCCACATCCACAGTACCCAAAGCTCTGAGCATCTTCTGGTTTGATGACGTGGACATCTCCTTTGGTGGTTGTGTAGCCCAGCTCTTCTTTATGCATTTTGCCTTTGTAGTGGAGTCAGGCATTCTCTTGGCCATGGCTTTTGACCGCTATGTAGCCATCTGCTACCCACTAAGGTATACCACCATTCTTAGCCATGGTGTCATTGGCAAAATAGGGGGTGCTGTAGTGCTCAGGGGTTTTGCAACTGTTTTCCCTATTGTCTTCCTTGTGAAACGCCTGCCCTTCTGCCGGACAAACATCATTGCCCACACATTCTGTGAACACATGGGGCTGGCAAAGCTGGCTTGTGCTGATATCACCATCAATATTTGGTATGGAATCTCTGTGCCATTGCTCAGTGTTATGCTAGATATGGTGACAATAGTCGTCTCCTATGGGCTTATTCTGCGGGCAGTCTTCAGGCTGCCATCCCATGATGCTCGGATGAAAGCGCTCAGCACCTGTGGTTCCCATGTCTGTGTCATCCTCATGTTCTACCTTCCAGGGATTTTCACTGTCATTGTTCAGCGCTTTGGCAGAAAAATCCCCAAGCATGTCCACATCCTGCTGGCCAATCTGTATGTTCTTGTTCCCCCCATGATGAACCCAGTTATCTATGGAGTAAAGACCAAACAAATTCGTGAACGAGTGGCCCTTGTATTTTCTTCAAAAGGGAAGTATTGCTGAGTTTGACTGGATAGCACTGTGGTTTCTTATAGGCCCGAAGGAAAGGTCCTATTAGAAAAGAGGAAAGACCGTTGTCATTCAGGATAGACTGTACTTGCTGTGAAATTAGTCTATTTTTTTTTTTTTTTTTTAGGAATGATCGAAATTGCATGAGTTCCTTATCTCAGAGGTAACTAGGTTCCTGAAAATCAGTGTATTAACAAACTTCTATTTTTGCATGCCCATAGGGTTCTGCAGTATTTAATAACATAACATCTCTATTTCTATCAAACAAAAATAAAATTTAAAAAACACTGCTCCTTCATCTGCAACTCAAATTTTAGATCTCTGGGTCCTCCCCAACAGCTATGATGAATATAAATTAGAATGAGTGAACAGCAACATTGTGTACAAATTGGGGAAACACTAAGGCTCCCTCCCTTCTAGCTCATCTTATTCACTAAAGACTTGAACAGTCTTGTTATACAAATGTGCATACCTGTTCATGCAAGATAGCACCAGGCACACAAATGAAATTACATTTACTGCTGTAAGTACATGATTTTGGAAGATAAAAAAGGAACAAGATAATTAAGTAAAGCGTTTGGAGATATAATCTGCCTTGGATGCTGGGTGTCCTATACAGCCCTCCACTTTTTAAACTTTTTAACATCCATCTTACAGGATCGTTGTGTGAAGATCCAATAAGAGAATAGATGCTAAAGCACGTTGCAAACTATAAAATTCTGTACAAATGTGTTGTGTCACTGTCATTAATGTCATTATGTTCTCTGGTATGAGCTTTCACCCTCCTTATGGTCAAAGGTTAAGAACAAACAAAACAAAAACCTGTCCTTTGTCTATGGCAAAGTCCTTCTAGCTCCCTCCTTCTTCCTTCTCCCACCAGGTTCATCTACCTACAGTGAAGCAGCCTATCAGATGTGCATCACACATTTTATTTAGTTATTTTTAAAATATATTTTATTGATTTTCTTTTTGTTAGAGAGAGAGGAAGGGAGAGGGATAGAGAGTTAGAAACATTGATGAGAGAGAAACATCAATCAGCTGCCTCCTGCACACCCCCTACTGGGGATTTGCCCCCAACCAAGACAGATCAAACCTGGGACCCTTTAGTCCGCAGGCCAATGCTCAATCCACTGAGCCAAACCGGTTAGGTTGCAACACCCACTTTAGACAGAGGATGACACAGACAGGCATAATTCAGGTGCAGGTACTCAATCCTTCAAAATCCCCTACGGAAATTTTCAAAGAAGTTTTACCTTGCTCCATAACCATGGAACTTCTTTCTTTCCAGCTGTCTGCTCATATTTCTGGCCTATTGTGGGATGTAGAGAAAATACATTTTTGTGTTTTTCCAAAGTTGGACTTTCTGAATAAATTTTGTTAAAATCTTGGAATCCTGGGATAAAACCAGGTTTTGGGAAATTAATGTATAACTATAGTGAATGAGATAACTATAGATAGTGAGAGGACTCCAGAGAGATTAACTAAACTCCAGAAGCATGGAGACATGGCTGGGTTTTAGAGCTAAAGACAATGGTTTTATCTTTTCCCCAGAGAGATTTATTTCCCCTCAGTCTCCAAAGAAACTTTCTCAGAAGAAGGGAAGGTAGAGAGAGCAGGAGCAGTCTCTCTGGATTTTATAATCAGAGAAAATACAGTTCTCCTAATTTCTTGACTTTGTATTCATATGACATTTTAACTGGACTTCATTGTATAGCCCTGGGGCTTAGAATTGGGTGTGAGGGACCACACAGTTATTATTTGTTTTTTATGTGAATAATGATAGTCTGTCCCTGATCCAGAATACTTGTGTACATTCAGTATAAAATTGATAACATGAATATTTAAGACCCAACATGGGGTCATTACAAACTTCCAGTATAAATGGTCTTCTCAACCCTGTAAGTCTTGGGTGGCTGCCGTCCCTATGCCCATCCTTGTCTCTCCTTTCCACTCTATTCCCTGTAGCCACATAAATACACACACCTAAAGGAGCCTATCTAAATCATAGTAATGTGTTCCTCCCCCATCCCAACAATATTATCAGGCTTAGGTATATAAGGGTCATTGGGGAAAAAATGACCAGGGGACATAAAAGTCACAGATCAGAAAAAAAGAGCCCAGTAGTGGCTGAAGCTCAAGTTCTAAGACATCATGGCCAGGGCCACACCCAGGCTGGTGAGTGAACTTCAAAAGCCAGTGGTGTGCTGGTGAATGCTTAATAACTAACTTTTAGGGGTTTGATTTGGAGATTTGCTGAGCCACAAAGTGTAGACACTTCCACTATGACTGATTTCAAGTGACTTCCTGGCAAAATTCCTAAAAATTTAACACTTTGCTCTTATGAGTTAGTATGAAAAGCTCCAGCACCTCACTGATTGCAGCTCTTATTAGACCTGACATACTGGGATTAGGGTGAGCCTGAAAATTTCAGCGCTAGTTTAACTCAGATGTGAAGGACTGAAGTCAATATAGAGAAACCTTGCCTCACTGGGAGGTAGGATTATGAGTGGATAAGAACAGAGACTTTGGAATCAGGCACACTTATTACTATAGGCTCTTCATATATAATTTGTATATATTGAGCATATTTTTAAACTTCTTTATTAAGGTAAGATTCACATAACATAAAATTCACCATTTCAACAATGTTACCATGTGTCATTTACTGGCTTTTAGTACATTTACAATGTTGTACAACTAATGCCACTATCTAATTCCAGAACATTTTCATCACCCTTAAAACAAATCCCATACTCATCATGCACTCTTTTTTAAAAATATATTTTTATTTATTTCAGAGAGGAATGGAGAAGGAGAGAGAGATATAGAAACATCAATGATGAGAGACAATAATTGGTCGGCTGTGTCCTGCATGCCGCACACTGGGCATAGAGCCCACAACTTGGGCATGTGCCCAGACAGCGAATTGAACCGTGACCTCCAGGTTCATAAGTCGACACTCAACCACTGTTGAGTCATGCTGGCTGGGCTAAGTAGTCACTCTTTATTTAACCTTCCCCCAATCACCTGGCAATGCTAATTAACTTTCTGTCAGTATGGATGTGCCTATTCTTGGACTTTTGACAAAAATGGAACCATACAATATGTCAGCCTTTTGTGACGGCTTTTTTCACTTAGCATAATGTAAGGTCAGTGCAAGCAATAAATATTTAGCACCAATCATATGGTAAAGGTCTTTGAAGATATGTTAGAATATTGGGGTTTTATTCTAAGCAAAATGAGTAACTGTTCAATGATGTTCAATGATTTTAAGTAAAGGACTGACATGATCTAGTTGAAGTTTAGAGTAATAGCATTCCAGTTTTTGAGTGAAAAATTAGATGGGAGAGAAAAAAGTGAAGATAGCAAATTCTTAAAGGAGGCTGCTGAGAAAAAGCCAGGACAGAGAGAAAGTAGTGATCACATTTAAATGTGAAACATGAATGAATTTAAGGATATTAAGAAGGCATAATCAAGAGTAAATTAATCTTGAAATAATTAAAGAAAATAAATAAACAAACAGATCTTTGACATGAGAAACTAGTTGACTTTTGTACCATTTAGTTAATATAGAGAGTTAGAGAGAATGTGTTGATCATGAAGAAAGGAAGAGAAACAGGTGGTATTTTTTTCATGTAGATTTTGAAAATGGAATAGTCAAGAGAAGTTATCAAATAGAAAATTAACTATGTAGGACAGAGAAAGAATTGGGAGTGGGATTTATTTAAACTTTTCACCATACTAATAACTATTTAATTTATGAGTTGACTGTGTGTTAGACAAATTTAACCTCACAACAAGACTATGAGTTAAGTACTAGCTTTTCTTTTATTTTAAGAAGAGAAAATTGAAACAGGATAAAGGGACCAAAGAAAGAGTAAAAATTTTGTGCATTTATGTTTTTGATGGTAGAAAATTAGGATACTTCCTTCTGATGCCTATCATTTTCTTGAGACTTGAATAATCCTTACCTCTCTTTCTTTAATTCTATCAATTATTTTCTCCAAGAAAAATGAAGTCTTGAAATTTATAACCATTGGATCCATTATTGGGGGCTTTCTGCTAGTGATTTACATAAGAAATTCTATTTTGTGTTGTCATTGTGGTTTTCTATTTTATTTTTCAATTACAGTCAACATTCAATATTACTTTATATTAGTTTCAAGTGTACAGCATAATGGTTATGCAATTATGTAATTTACAAAGTGATCCCCACCCATAATTTTAGCAGCCATCTAACATCATGCATAGTTATTACAATATTACTGACTGTGTTCCCTATGCTGATTTTAGCATCCCCATGACTATTTTTTAACTACCTATTTGTACTTCTTAATCCCATATTTTTCACCAAGCCCCCAGCCCCTCTACTATCAGGCAAATATCAGTTTGTTCTCTGCATCTATGAGTCTGTTTCTGTTTTGTTTATTTTGTTCTTTATATTTCACACATAAGTGAAATCATATGGTATTTGTTTTTCTCTGTCTGACAAATAAATTATATTAAATAAATATAATTACTTGACTTTCCACAATCTTATTTTCTATGCCCTCATCCCCAGGTCACTGTTCCCTTTAGGAAAGAGTAGAAGGACAACTTTGTCCCTGATCTGCTTTGTTTTTACACCATAAATGATGGGATTGAGTGCAGGAGGGATTGCTACATAGAGATTAGCAAACATGATGTGAAAGGCGAGAGAGATGTTGTGGCCGAAGCGATGTGTAAGGGCAGAGAACAAGGCTGATGTGTAGAATATGAGAATGACACTGACATGAGACCCACAGGTGCTGAGAGCTTTCTGGCGGGCATCTCTAGACGGAAGGTGAAAAACAGCACGAAGAATGAGAGTGTAGGAAATACCAATGAGGATCAGGTCTGACATAATCGCCATTAGAGGTATAGTGAAGCCATACCAGATATTGATGGAGATACTAGCACAGGAGAGCCGTGCCACCGCTATGTGCTCACAGTATGTGTGAGGGATGATACGTGTCCTGCAGAAGGGCAAACGCTTCACCAGGAAAACAACAGGCAAAATGATACTAAAGCTCCGACCAACAATGCCTACCGAGATCTTGACAATTGTTCTAGGTGTCAAGACACTGCTGTACCTCAAGGGGGAGCAAATGGCCAGGTAGCGATCAAATGCCATACCCAATAATATGGCTGAGTCCAGAAAGAAGCTGAAGTGGAGAAAGAACAACTGGGTGAGGCAGCCAGAAAATGTGATTTTCTGAGCTTTCAACCATAATATGCCAAGCATTTTGGGGACACATGTGTTGCACAATATGAGGTCCGTAGAGGCCAACATGGAGAGGAAGAAGAACATGGGTTCATGGAGGCTGCGGTCCATAGTGATGAGGTAGAGAAGAATGCCATTACCTGCAAGGGCCACAAGGTAGATGGTACAGAAAGGAATTCCAATCCAGATGTGAAACTGCTCCAGCCCTGGGATCCCCACCAAAATGAAGGAGTCTGGATTAAAAGCTGTCAAATTCAATGTGGTCATCATGTTGATTGTCATCCCCTGAGGACAAAATACCACATTTAATTCTGGGGACTGACTGTTCACAAAATCCTTTTTTAAGTCTTTTTCATCACTGGGATACCTCCTGTCCTATCTCTTAACAAACACTAGAAGAAAAATGCAATCTACTTCTCACAACCTCTACAGCATTTACTAAAAGCTTCCCAAAAACCTTAATTATTACCCATGTATAAATATTACCTTACCATAACTGCATTGTTACTATATTGGAACCATGTCCCAATAGATCTATGACCTAGGAGCACATTGGCCCTTGGTTGTCAATTAAAATTCCAAGGTTGTCTTGCTCTCACCAAATAACTCCGTTTGAGGTTTCTCAAAGATGTATTAAATATCCTACTTGACACAAATCTCAAGAATATCCATTTAAATAAATAAGGGGCCATGTGTTAATTATCAAATTTGCATTTTTTAATGCCAATGTATCACTAGGACTCTGGTGAGTCAATCTACTACTGCTCAGAATTTACTCCCACCTCTTCAATATCTGGAAGACAATCTCTATCTAAATATTCTTTTCAACTCAGAAATAGTGTTCCAAGGCTCATTATCTTCTTCTACCTGCCAACTTCCTGATCAGCTACCCCATACGTCATCACATTGTTCTCCCACTGCTGGAACATAGTGATCTGAGAGTTGGTGGTAACCCTTCTTCCTCCTTCAGCCCCTATCTCTCATCTTCCAGCTCTTATGATCCTTATTTGAAATCCCTGTTTGACCGGCCTACTTCTTTTTCCTCTCTACTTCCTCATCTACTCACATCTTCTTACTCACTAATTGGAACCATAGAATAAGAGTTTTGGTTCTATCCTGCCTGGTGTGACTTAATTGTTTGAGCATCATCCCATGCACCAAGAAGAAATCAGTTCCATTCCTGGTCAGGGCACATGCCAGGGTTGTGGGCTTGATCCCCAGTAGGGGGACTGCAGGAGGCAGCCAATCAATGTTTCTCTCTCCCTCTCCCTGCCGGGAGCCGGTCCATGCTTGCTGTTTCAAGGGACCTGGCATATATGGCATACTGTTCTTAATATGTTTGCTCACCTTCTTGGCACTATGTGTTTTCACCAAGGTGTCTGAGAAAGGTTGTTTCCCCAGGTAGGGATTTTCCCCTGAAGTTAGGGAGGGAATAAAACCTCTTAACTAAGTACCAGGCGGGTAATTAATCACTTTAACTACGAACAATCATGCTTAAGCTACATAATCTTTACTCCCTGGAATGGAGATAAGAAACGCCCTAACCTTTGGAATAGAGATTGATAGGATTGGAATCAACTGGTATAAATACAGATGTAATAAGACAGCAAGACACAGAACTTAGAACACAGAGCTTAGAACACAGAGCTTAGAACACAGAACTTAGAATATGGAACCAAGAGAGACAGAACCTAGGCACAGAACCTACACAGAACGTTCTCTAGAGACAGAAGAACTTCGCTGGAGAGAACATGGCAAAAGTTCCTGGACAGAAACTGGCCTCAGAACCTAGAGACAGAACCTAGCGAGAGAACATGGCAAAAGATCCTGAACTGAACCTGACTACAGAAATTGGCAAGAGAACCTGACTAGAACCTGGTAACTGAACCTGGCTGGAGAACCTGGCTGGAGAACCTAGCAAGAGAACATGGACACAGACCCTGGCTGCAGATCCTAAGCAGAACTTCGCTGGAGATCCAGACCAGAACTTGGCTGGAGATCCTGGCTAGAGATCCTGGCTAGCCTGCTGATCAACTGAACGCTGTCTCCGTGTCATTCCTTCTTCGCCAACTCCGTCCACACCTTTGGGGACCCCTGGACCTGCTGGGGCAGGACCCCAGCATCTCCCTTCCTCTCTCAAGAATCAATAAAAACACTTTTTAAAAAAGGATTTTGGTTCTTTTAATATATTGCAAACCCTTCTCTTCTCATGCTACCATATTGATCTCTTTAAAATATAAAATTACCAAAACACTCACATTGCTTAAAAGCATGTAATTGCACCTGCTGTGCCAACAATTATTTTTATTTCCTGTTTTACAGTCAATACTTTCACTATATAGAGTGGTTCTACCTATATGAATGTGTCTCACATTCTTCCCTAAAATGTATTCATAGAGGACTCCCCGTATTTCTCCATCATTCCTACACCCCCTTGCTGGTATTGCTTCCTTTTCCATAGATGCAATCTTGTCTTTTCTCACTATGACTAAATTCTACTCATTGCTCTGACCCTGACAAGTGCTAATGTCTCCAGGAAACTTTCTCCAGTTTTACTAAACCATGTCTCTATTGCCCTGCTTGTGCAACCACAGTTCTTTTTTTAAATATATCTTTACTTTTGAAAGTATTACAGATATCCCACTTTAATCCCTCCACCCCAAACCTACCTCCCAGGCCTTCACCACACTATCATCTGTGTTCATGGGTTATACATATATTTACCAAACAATCAGATGTTTGTATTAAGCTTTGCATTATTTTTATTATTCTCTTGAAGTCTTTTTCCTAGATATGTGGCCAACCCTGCATTAATGATTAAGAACTCTTCTTGAGAATATAATTTCTGTCTCCATGTGTTTCTTCCAGCATGGAAGAAGGCAAGATTTCACATAGAATAACCAGTAATACAGTCTCAGTAGAAAACTGATATTTCAAGTCAGTCACTGCTGAATATATATATATATATATATATATATATATATATATATATATATGTATTCCCTTGACTTATTGACTCTTCTTCCATCTTCAAAGGTAATAACAGTACATTTAATCTTCCTCTAAACTTTTTAGAAATGTGACTTCATATCTCTCTGACTCTAAACTTTTCTATTTCCTTCTTCTGCTTTTGAAGACCATTGTGATTATACTGGAATCACCCAGATAATTCAGTATAATACCCTTATTTTAAATCAGCTGATTATCTACATAAATTTTCTTTGCCATATAAATAACATGTACAGGTTCCAGAGATTTGGTTGTGTATATCTTTGAGGGGCTATATTATTCTGCCGACCAGAAGGTCCTTTAACACTGCCTGTTCTTTCTCATTCTGCTTTCCCAAGACTTCTCCCACTATCACCATTACCACATTCAGATAATACTCACAGACAACTAGTTTTGATGTTGGTGCTGGGTTAGAAAGCCAGTAGATGGCTGGAAGAGGATAACTCCAGGATGAGAACAGAGATTTAGAAGGGAACATAACACAACTGGGGGGTAGGAGGGGGACATAGAAAAAGAAAGAAGGAAAGGGTACAGAGCAGGTGAGGCACAGGGAGAAGGACATTTAATTCTAGCTGGGGAAGAGACACACCTGCAGAGCATAGCCTTTTTATCTTTTATTGGTTTTCTCAGGGGATGAAGAGACTGAAAAATGAGGGGCCTAAAACCTAGGGGGATTCCAGGGACTCTACTCCCCAGTCAATATCATTAGTATTTATAATAAATGTTTACATTAACATTTTTTAAATCTTAATCACATGCACATGGGATATGATTCAGAGTTTTAGACTCAGGAGAGAAACCAGGGAGTGCTGAGATTCTTCAGGGTATGGCCTATGTCGATGAGTCATTTATAGACACTGTAGCTAGGCTCCTGGTTATGACTTGGAAGAATGGCGTGCTGGTGGCCCTTTAAATTCTGATCACATGAGATAGTTATGTGAATATTTGGAGATAAGACAGTCGATTGTTTAGGGACACTGATGAGTTCCATGTGATATGGTTGTTGGGCAGATATGAGTATCAGGATTTCAATGCCCTCCAATTTTGATGCATTCAGTTCCCCAGCCCCAACTCCTCCATCAGGTGAGGGTTTTTCTGGATTATTATATCATACTAGAGGCCCGGTGCACAACACTCATGCACTGGAGGGGGTGGTCCCTCAGCCCAGCCTGTGCCCTCTCGCAGTCTGGGACATCCTCCAAGGGGTTCTTAGCACTACCTCAGAGGCAGGAGAGGCTCCCGCCACCACCGCTACACTTGCCAGCCCAGCTTCTGGCTGAGCAGTGCTCCTCCTGTGGGAGCACACTGATCACCAGGGGGCAGCTCCTGCCTTGAGCATCTGCCCCCTGGTGGTCAGTGCACGTTATAGTGACCAGTTGTTCCACTGTTTGGTCAATTGGCATACTAGGGTTTTATTATATAGTATTCTATTTCACTGAATGGGGCTTTCTAGTCTCTACTTGTCATTGCATTGAGATACTTTTTGAACCAAAGAAACTCAGTGATTTCTGAACAAGATGTATAAAATTAAATCTTTACATAAATCACTTCCTTAGGCCACTGCATATTCATTGAATGCTTACCATGTGACTGGAAATGTATGGTTAACATCCAACTGCTTATGGCAAAAACCTAAGTTATTCTTAATATTATCACTTCCTTATTCTCCTTTCATTTTATTGATTTTGTCCATGTATTGCCACTCCTCCCCCAAAATACTATAGATCTCAGTGTTTTACATAGTTTTTTCATTTGTGGATTGTCTTTCTAACTGTGTAACAAATACATAAAACAAAGCAAGTTTTGCATCTGCAGAAAGAGCTGAAGATACATTATAATTTTGTGATGCTAACTACTCTTTCCATTTTACTGAACCAGACCAAGTCCAGAATGCTTCAGAGCAAAATAGACCAGAGCTTTAAAGATGGTTGGACACCAATTACCTTGGTATATCAACTGTGGCAAATAAAAATGGGTAAAATAAACTTCTGTTTCCCTAAAATTATATTTATATTTTTGCCTGGCTGTGTGAGTGAGTGCTCAGATCTCTGAGCTCCTTACATGAAACTTTCTCCCATTTCAACAAGTCAGAGTTGGAATTTCATGGGGAAAAAATCACATTGAGCACACGACACCAATCTCACCCATTCCGACAATATGAAAGAAAAAATTTAACATTTTAAAATAAAAACACACAAAAAGCCATTTTAAAAATTGAAGTAATAGAACAATGGATTGAAAACTAAACTGCCATAGTCAAGAGGAGCCTACAT